GGTCGAGTCGACCTTAGTTGTGGAATCAACCTCTGTGGTGTAGTCGACCTTAGTTGTGGAGTCAACCTCTGTGGTGTAGTCGACCTTAGTTGTGGAGTCAACCTCTGTGGTGTAGTCAACCTTAGTTGTGAAAGCAGTCTTAGTTACGGGGACAACAGTCTCCACGGTCTCTGTGGTCGAGTCGATCTCAGTTGTGTACTTTGTCACGGGTACAACAGTTTTAACAGTCACAGTCTCGGGCACGACGGTCTTCACGGTCACCACATCAGTTTTGTACTTAGTCTCTGTCTCAGGCACGACGGTCTCCACGGTCACCACATCAGTTTCGTACTTCGTCTCGGTCGCTGTGACTACATCGACAGACTGTATGGCAACTGTTTCCAAAGTAGTGTATTCAGTCTCAGTCACAACAGTGGTCATAGTGTAAGTTTCGGATACTTCAGGAAAGTAAACATCGGACGCTACGGGGTAATTCTCCGGTTCGGACTCGACTGGGTACGCGACAGCCAAATTTGCGACCTGAGCGGCAATCAATGCGATGTTGACAAACTTCATGGCGGCGCTGTGTAAAGATTATCAAACTTTAGTGATAAGTGGCAGTGTGCGTGTGATGATACTAGACATAAACCTGTTGTATTTAAAGTAAAGACATCGGCAGCAAATCTACTATAAAATATATATATGTGTTGTCCGGTTCAACACTTTCTTCATTATTTTTTTCAGGGGTTTGCGACTTTGCGTTTCTTTTTCTTTTTTTTTCTATTTATAAATATAGAAATAAAAGTTGCATACCAATGTCGTAGGCATTATGGCTATAAACGATATTTTAAAAACGTACAGTCTATAATACTCACCCTATATGTTATTTACAACATGTCAAAGGTCAAAGGCGTGATCGATTTTCATCAAGCTGAAGTATTCATGTAAATAGTCACCGGCTGAATTTTAGCAATACCTCGTACCACAAATCCACAATATAGGGACCTCATACGGCTCAGATAAATATATATTTATACTGTATATATATCTTTTAACTTGAAATAAATAATAATTACATCGCTACAGCCTTTTACTATTTTTCAAATATAGAATATGTAATATAATTATTTGTTTTTTTTAAAAAGCAATAACTATATTTAGTAATTTGCTTCTTTACAATGATATTTTTTTTCAAAACAAGAACAGATTTTTATGAAAAATTAGATACATCACCATCACCAGTTCGCCACTCCGTCACACTGATACAAAATCGTCACAACTAAGAGCACAAGAACTCCCAAGGAGTCCAGGACTTCTTACTCCCAGTTTCCATCTCTTTCATCAGAATCATCACAAAAACAAATTCTATTTCTTCTTTTTTTAGATACATTTGTATATCATAATATATGTTTTCTCCTATATATTTGTTTTACAAAAACAATAAATATGCCAAAAAAAAGCAAAAGCAGAGGCCAGAGGCTTAGTCGCTCAGAACTTCAGAAGTTAGAGACATATTGAATTTATATTGATAGCCGTAGCCCGTACATAGATGCCGTGAGCCGTAGTGGTCTGGTCACTCTGGTGGAGTGGTGCCCTGGTAGTGGTCTCTGTCTGGGGTACGCATTGGGCTTTTCTCTCTTTCTCTCTAAATATATTTACATTGTACATATGTAAAAAAAAAATATAAATAGTAGAGAGAATAGACTAAATGTAGCGAGAGAGAGATTGAGAGAGTATTTAGTTTTAATTGTTTTTAACAAAATAAAATGTAGTTGTAATCTGAACTGAAGTTGTGAGGCGTGACTCTGTGAGCTTTCAACGCTGACGTAATCAAATTCTCGAGCTTATATTTTGGAATTTGTAGTCCTATTTTGATAATTTCTTTAGAGAAATTGAAAAGGCCCTGTCCTTCCGAATGGTGTAAATATTTTACTTTGTTGTTGTTGTTGTTTTTTTTAATTTTTAAAAGTCAAAAATGAACAGACAAACCTCATTTTTGGTCCAGGGTCCGGTTCAGGCCAAAATTTGGACAAAAATAATAGGTAGACAAAACTCACAAGAGTAGAGAAGTAAATACATGCACTCGGGAGTAAAATATAGTACACGCGCAATATCAATTTTTATATTTCTTTATTTAATACAAAAGCGTTCAAGCATCGACTTTGATCTAACTCGTGGTTCAACAGTATTCTTTGGCCAGTTGTTAGCGGTAAGCAATTATAACTCGGTAGGCAATATCCCTAACTACAATATCCCGTACAGAACAGCACCACAGAATACATGCGCTGGACGCTCGCACCTAACAGGCGAGTAATACCGCTATTCTTATATACAGATTATATTATATTTCATTTGTAGATTATATATCATAAAAATACATGCTAATCCACTTCTCTTGAGGGTATAGCCAGCCACACGTGAATCCACATAGCAGTATTCTGGCACATACTGCAAAATAAGTTTCGACTTTCGAGTCCCAGCGTACAACAGAAGCGGACAAAAACGTGGTGAACATTAAAAGAGGTATTGTCGCAGCAAGCTTGGTCCTCAAATTGGATTCAAATATTTAGACATCGTCGATTCAATTTTTATTCGAAAGTACACAGGGACATGGGAATCATGGGACTCATCATGATGAGAGGTGAGGTTGTTTCTGTTTTCATAATACTAAATATCTACACAGCCTTTTACGCCTCACAGCCTCACGCCTCACAGCCACAGCCCACGGGCCCACAGCCACAGCCCACAGGGTACAGGGTACAGGGCTACAGCCTACCAGGCACAGGGCCCCAGGGCACAGGCCCATAGACCTAAATCTCACGCCTCGCGAAGTTAATGTTTTCTTCTTTTTTTTACAAAAACAAAACACATATATGTAAAAGTTTCGCAAAGTGAAATGCCATGAATAAATACATTCCAAATAGATATTCTTTCGTGCAAACCAAAAACTATTGTCGAAAATGGGTTCTGTAACTTCTGTTTATCAGTTATTTTTAATACTGTATCGGTCAGACTCCTACAGATTCAATTATGAACAGACTGTAAAAATTATCAATATTTTTAAATATATATTTTATAATAAAATAAGTACTACTTTATATTCAAAAATGTACTTTCTGTTGCATTAGTATTTTATTTTTTTTAACAAAACCAAGATTTCATATCCTTGTGAAGAATTCGATCTTACTAAGTATCAAAAAAAGCCATAGTTAAATTCTAGAAGCCTGAAGGTGAACGAATCAAACAAACTTGCAGATATTTAGAATACGTAATCACTGGTTGTTAAACTGAATAAAATATTTTCTTTTTTTTATACAAAATAGAAGAGGGAATATTTTTCTAAAATAATACTGATTCAGATTTGAGTGATTCCAGATTCTAAAAAGCATACCAATAAATATTGATTGACGTCATGACCATCTTGGAATTTTAGGGGAAATTTACGTTTCACAATTTCATAAATAAATTCTGCATCGCCCGTATTTCGATTTTTCCCGTGTATTTATTTTTTATAATTTTTATTCTAGCAAAATAAATGTCTAATTTAGAAGGCTATGAAATAAAACACAAAAACAAATTCAAAAAAAATTTAAAGGCGTTTTACAGATAATATATAAAAAACAATATCGCGAAATTTTTTTTTAGAATAGACGTTTTCACAATAATTTATCCACCGAACTTTTCCGTTATCTGTTTTTGTATTGTTTTAAAAATATGTGTGAGTAAATGCTAAATTTTATTTACTATGTCAATAGTTCGGAAATATGGATACAACACTTGATCGTTTAACTGCCACACAGCCACAACCACAGGCCAATAGAACTTGAACCGAAACATCGAAGAATGGAAGCATCCGGGTGGATGCGTGGAGGACTGGAGGACTGGGTCTGGAGGACTGGGTCTAGAGGACTGGGTCGACCAGATAGACCAACTTTTTACTGTCGATTCCGCCAATATATTTGAAAATCTTTTCATGATGAAAAAAATCCTTCGCCGGAGAGGATTCGGGAAAGTATCAACTCCCAATAGAATTCTGATAAGCCATACGCGTGGTTACTTTAAACTCAATCTCTACAGAAATACAACCTATCAGAACAATCTGCTTTTCACCACTCGTCATAGATTCAAAACGCCCCGGGAACACGGCCCACGCCCCACATACAGCAGTGCACGTGCCGCAATTGTCTTTTGAGAAACCAGTATTTACCGCTTCGCGGTAGTATGTAGGTAAATATTACTGTAAGAGGTACTCCGTCACTCCGAGACAGACCTAAAACGTTATGCTATTCGCTTGTTCAAAGTTCACCTTTCCTACAGTTATATATATATATTTTTTAAAAACAAATGTTTTTTGTATTTAGAAACATATGTTTTGGCCTATAATTTCAGTGCAATTTCGATCTGGATATGCACCTATATCTGGCTTTTGGGCTGCATACTTACGTTGCGGGCGAATATTACTATATTGTGTCATTAGCAGAATATTCAGATCAGATCATTTTTTTAAAACCCAGACAATCACTCGTGAAGGATTCGGGACCCAGGGTCCCAGGCCCCAGGGCCAGGAGCCAGGCCGCCAGGGCCAGTAGTATATAAATATACACTTTTTAACAAATAAAATCTTGTATATAATAGCCTCCAAACTTTTGTCAATTTTCATTATTTCATAATGCTATTTTTTGAAAAGCAAAAGAATATACTCCGAGAGAGAGCAAGAGGTGAGAGTTCGCCTCCGAGATAAATATATTTTCTTTTCTGAGTTTTCTCTAAACATCCAGACTCCAGACTCCTGACTCCACTGCTCCAGTGTCCAGCGCGAGAGGATGGGCCGAGGCCCGTGGGGAGTGGACGACTGGCCATGGCCCGTGGGCCGTGGGGTGAGGGCCTGAGGGGTCCCGGGTCAGACAGAACCTGTTTTTCAATATCTATTTATTTTTTAAACAAAACAGAACTCGGAAAGATCATCGAATTCCAGAATCCGGACCTGAGGTCTCAAAATGGCTAAATACTAGCGGAAAACAAAATGTGCCACGTACTAAATAACTAGATTGAAGTTGTAAATATTTCAGGTTGCTTTTACTTTTTTAACTTTTTATCCAGCCAAATACTATACAATCTAAAAGCGGGTTCTGGTGTCAGACTGTCAGTGACTGATTTTTTTAGTCTGTCAGCACTCAGCAGCAGGACTTGAGGAGGAGAGCGTCATCGAATCGAGCGACTTATGATTATTTCCGGAGGGGAAAACTTGAAAAGTGTGTATTCTTATAAGCGAAAAAGGTCTCAAAGTAGGGCCTTTAGATTTTAGAAGGCGTATGCTTTTAAGATGTGGCACGACTCATAGCCCCTAAATCACAAATGTTCTCGGGACGCTATACCCAATTCAGCTTTTATATGTGTTAATCGACACCAATTGTAGAATCGCGTTGCACACTTGCACTGCTGTCAATTAATAAGAATAAACCTATAGCTTCGCTATTTTCAGTGTGTACTAACTGTGAATCTTGAAAAGTGAAAACCAAAGTGTATTCGTATGTACTTATTGTACATATATCCACACATCTGTATTGATTGTACATATATCTGTATATATGTACTTATTGTATATATATCTGTATATATCTACTTATTGTACATATATCTGTATATATGTACTTATTGCAAATATAACTGTATATATATACTTATTGTACTTATATCTGTATATATCTACTAATTGTACATATACCTGTATATATCTACATATTCTACATATATCTGTATATATCTACTTATTGTACATATATCTGTATATATCTACATATTATACATAAATCTGTATATATCTACTTAATTTACATGGATCTTTATGTATGTATATATCTGTATATATCTACGTATGTCTGTATGTATATATCTGTATTTATGTACATATATATGTATATTTCTACATAAGTCTATATAAGTGTATATATGTACAAATATTTGTATATATCTGTATTTAGGTACATATATGTGTATTTATGCACATATGGATGAATATGTGTGTATTTATGTACATCTAGACGAATATATGTGTGTATATGTGCATATCCATGTATATATGCATATATAAGTACATATATACGAATATAAGTGCATAAACATGCACATGTATATATGTGTACACATATACCTATATTATATATAAATTCATACATACTTATTTATATATAAATATATATGTATGTATGTGTGTGTGTATGTGTATAGGTGTGTGTACATTTATGTATGTATAATTCTATGTACATATATATATATATATAATTATATATAAATAAAATAGTACTTTTAAATTTATTTGTATATATATATGTATACATACATACATTTGAATATATGAATTTATGTATATACATACAATGTATATGTATATATATATATATATACATATATATGTATTTATTTGTATACATAGATATGTAAATATATATATATATATTTGTGTGTGTGTGTGTATATATATATATATATGTGTGTGTGTGTGTGTATAATATATATATGTGTGTGTGTGTGTGTGCGAGTAAATATATATTATATATTATCGTATACATATTCCATATACATACGTGTTTGAATTTATATTTATATTTATTATTATATATATATATATATATATTCATCTTCATATTCATATTCATATTCATATTTATATATATACATATTCAGAATAGCTAAATTGTTGATACCAATGCATTACGCCACTAAGTACTGTACAGGTGACGGGAGAATGATCCTCAAATAATTTAGGGCAAATATAGATGTAACTTGCAGACGAGCTTAACTTCGGCCTAATGTAAGTTAGGTATGACCTATCCGGTATCAACTGCATCAAGAGCTCAGATATCACTTCTTCTCTATCAACAATATAAATATCACAGATATTACTGCTTCTGCTATTAACGGTAGAGATGATTCAAATATAACTTCTTCGCTGTCAGCTGTATAAATTAGTCAGGTATCATTCTTCTCTATCAACTGTATAAACGGCTCAAGTATCACTTCTTTGCTATCCACCGTAAGAATATGTCAGACATCACTTCTTCGTTATTCGCTATCTAATATATAGATATAGATAGATATGCATATGATATATATCTATATTTATCTATATATATACATACATACATATGCATAAATGCATGTATATTTATATATAAATATATTGATATATAGATATAGATATATATCAGGTATTATATATTCGATGTTACAGGATAAATAACCCAATTTATGTACGAGTGTCTGTGAGTGAGTGAGCACGTATGTGCGTGAGTGGGTATATACGAATGTGTGTACAATGATTGAGCGAGTGTACGTTAGCAATAGTATGTATATGTGCGTATGTGTTGAGTGAATGTTTGTGAGTACGTGTGTGTGAGTGTGCGTGGGTGTATGGATATGCGCTATGAGATTTTGTGTGTGGGTGTTTGAGGAGTGTGTGAGTGAGCAAGTGTGAATGGGTGTTTGCGTGAGTGATGTGTGGGTTAGAGTGTGTGTGTGATTGAGCGTGTGTGAGATTGTGTGTGTAAACGCTGGTGATATGTAGGGCGTGTACCTTCTGTGCTCTCTTGGGTGTGTGGGCACTGTGGGGTGCTGTGCGAGACATTTTGGCCTGAAAATGAACAAATCGATTGCCCCCACGGCTTCGAGTTTTCAGTCTCCGTGGCGTCCCAGCCGTGATTTGTTTAGGGCCACACCCTTATTTTCAGGCATCGACGATCGAGAGTTAAATATAAATCACGGCTGGGAAACGGGGACTGAAAGCGTAAAATCATAGGGACCGTTTTGAACTGGATGGGGGTCTACAAATGGGTCAAATAGCGTCACTGACGTTTTTTGGCGACTGAGTAGTACATAAAAGAAAGAGTTTTAGGCAAATGTCTGATTTGTGATCTATCCAGAACAGAACTAGACCTTGGGCGTTTGGAGGGTTATGTTAAGAGCGAATGCTAACTGGAACGATACTGATACAGACTTGGGCGGTACGTCAGGCATTGTAGAATCATCAATGGGAAGACATAAACGTAAGCGATTTACCCCTAATCTTAGCGTTTCTGTGCTTGACTCTAGTCAGGCTTGCAGAACTAACACCAACAATGTAGGTATATCCGAGTTAAGCAGAGATAATATTCAAGACGTACACGAGATCAGCAACAATGTAGTACCTGAAATGGCCCCCGGCGATACAAACACTGTAGCTCAATTGGAAGAGCATGTCGACACACAGACAACCAACATCATGAGCTCTAGGGTGCAGCTTAAAAGCGACCGGCAGCACTTTTCAAACGCATGTGACATCCCAGTAGTCGAAACTCTGAAAGGCCCCCCACCAGTGTGGCCGAGTCCGCAGACCAGAAAGCATACGACACAGACACAACTAGACCAAGGCAAGATTAAAAAAAGTATAACACCCACTGGCACGCGTCTATTCTTCGGAGCTGATACCAGTTCCCGCGACGATTGCACCTCGTGTGGAAGTCGTGAACCACCACATACCGACGTGCACGGTACATACTGCTCCGGGTGTGGTCATAGTCAGACTGCAGCAGCCAGCGGACCTTTAGTGCACTCGTACGATGAAGTATCGAGTGGATGGGGCCATCACGCCTTTCATACGGATAAGCGCATGGTATACGGGCATGTGGCCTGGAAGCAGAGGTGTGAACTTGATGAGTCGCGCTTTATCACGGCGATTATGAGCTTGCTAGCTTGTACTAAAGAGAGTGGTAGGAAGACTAATATTGAGAGGGCTGTTGATTTTCTGGCGTATGTCAGAAGGCTGCAGCAGAGTGCCGCAGTAGCTTTTAAAGCGCACACGAACAGTACTAATTCACCTGCAATGGAATTGGAAGGGCAAGGAGTGGAGTCCAACGTAGATAATAGTGTAAATATGCAGAGGGGAGTTCGTTTCAAAAAAAGACTACATGTGGACAGGAGAAAGGAATTCGTGACGGCGTGTGTGTACATCTCTCTGTTGAACGATCAGAAGCCGGTGACTATGCAGATGATTACTATCGCCTCGGGTCTACCTCTGCACAAAGTTGGAGCCGCATATAAACGGGTGTTACAGTTATTCAAATCAACATCGTCTACACGTCCAGGCGCAGGAACCCCTACACTCCACTTGAAGGCTGGGGAACGAAGTTCTGGCCGAGATAGCTCGGGAGGTAACGAGACGCAACGTGATGAAACTGTAAGATCTGATCACAGTGAGATGTCTGAAGCTATCGGCGTATCGCAGACTAGCGATAGTTCAGTCCACGAGCAGATTGCGATAGTGGGTTCGGGCGGTGTTGGGATGTGTGTTCAGAAAGCTCCCATCGAAAGCCTTGTGGAGGGTCGTATAAGTGAGCTCCATCGTAATCAGGTATTTTACAAATTAAGATTTGAAGGAGGTGACCGAATTGACGAGGAAGCGTACACGCATGCGGAAAAAGTATCCGCACTTTTCCGTAAGATTGAGCATAGCGCGAAAATGTTTATCGCATTAGCAAGAGTTAGTGGTGTGAGTGAAAGAAGGCGTGTCAATAGTGTGCTTACCGTTGCTCTTGCAATGGCGGTGTACGCGGAAGTACAACGACAAGAGATCTGTTCGACAGGCAGCAAGTACAGAAGCCTAGATATGGATACGACCGCTTTTCTTGGTGGTTATACGAGTTCTGAGGTTGATCAGCGTGCATGCGGGAATTTGTCAAAGCTTACCTATTACCAGGTGCTCGAGCTTGTGAGTGCGGGATCAGATGAAATGGTGGCTTCTAGGAAAAGCATGGACCAACGGGCACTCAAAATCACATCTCGAGAAATGCACGGCGTTTTACTAAAGTTCAACAACGAGACGGCCGTAGCAGAATCCGTATCAGGTGATGTCGATTGTGGCAAGAAAACTGCAAGCGCGTGCACGCCGGGCGGGAATAGTATCGCAGAAGAAATAGGGGAGGCAATGGATAAGAACAAACACGCATGTGCAGGTACAAGTGTAGCTAAGAGTGCGACTGATCTTTTGAGAACCACCATGGGTGTATCGCATAAAGAAGCGACACCAGCTTTGAAGAAAAGTAGGACGGGAAACGCAGCAACCTTTGGGCGGCCACGTGCACTGACCAGCGCCGAAGTGAGGAAGAAAGCAGCTATGCTTACGGAACGATATCTACGCTATATGCTGGACCGGTAACACTTGACCCCGTCATCGTGTTTCGTACCACTGTGCCCATTTAGTAGTGGTGGAGACCTCGAAAGGTTTACATTTGTACTTTGCCTCGGTGTAGCCCGGGGCCATGCAGGTGATGTGCTTGTCCAGATGTTGAAGTTCCACACGAATCACTGGTATAAGCTGCTTGGGTGTATTCTGTACGGGGTATCGTACCAAGAAAAAAGTTAAGCGAGTATTATATGCTCGCCATTACATATAGTAGTCTTATTGAATCAGGCCTTATAAAAGAAGTCCTATGGTTTGAGAGTGTTGAATCAACAATTATATTTTTTTAATCCATACCATCTTTCCTCATCGATCTCAGAGTTTGGGTACTATAGAAGTTGTTCTGCGTGAACCACTCCGATCTATATTTTAAATATATGAACATTTGAGTGTGAGCGAATATTAAAGTTTATGCTGAGTGAAACCGTTTTTGCGCGCGTTTACAAAACCGTTTTCTCATTCGCTGAATGGAAAGCAAGAGCAATATGTTAAAGAAGAGGGACCCTGTATCTCGTTGCTATAGACCGGTATGGCTAAGTCGTGAGCTGGAGTTCTAGACACCCTGCCAGCTGCTGACACTCGCAATACCTAGGGTTAAGCTGCAGTTAAAGCGATAGCTCAATTGAGTATATTCGATGTAGGTCCTTTCCATAGATTCGAGCAGCAGTTGAGGACTAGCAACGATCTAGTTCACACTCAAATATGCATTTCTTACCTATACATAGAATGTGTCTGTGTGTTTGTTTGTCTTTATATATGTGTGTGTGCGTGACTGTGTGTGTGTACGTATTCATATAGATAGATGTACATGTTATGATATATCTCTATAAATTTCATTTCGGTGTGATTTTGTGTTATACCTAAGTTTGTTCGTTGCTGAGTCGTTGTACTTTTCTGCTACTGTTTGATCTCAAGAGGCATTCAGTTTTCGAATTGACCTAATCGATCGGATATATCTCGTCAGGACTATTGCACTGAATTAAAATATCGCTCTCGCAGAAAAACCGACTTATCACCACGAGGATTAGTATAGCTCCTTTGGATCGTATATCAAGATGTTGCACGACCAATATACTCACAATAGCCAATCATTGTATACAGTATAGCGAATCTCTCCTGTTTTTTGGTATGTATAGTAGTCCGATATGGATCACCTCACAGCTTGACCCGAACCCGACGGAATTAGGCCCGTATAACCTGCTCATGACATAAGTTACCACGCATACCCATTGCCGTCAGCATTGTTCCAGCATAGACTGAGAGTTCCGATCTCTATAGACACTCGTATTGACACCTAGCGTAAAGAAAACCAATAAAGTACTGAATAAAACCTCCGCTTACCGATTATTAGGTAGCCGACATTACCTTCGGGAGTCTTGTGTGTCCAGACTATTGTGTAAGCTCTGCACGCGACCTTTTATATACACTTTCCGCACACACCTTTGAATACTCACCCGCACTTACAAAGTTGGTGGATGCTGCCAAAGATGTGACCGATTTAGTATTGTCGTGATCGACCCACCTATCTAAGTAGAACGTGACATTTACCTCTGATTTGGATCATAATGTCTTAAAGTACTCGACGCTGTAGTTACGTCGTATCAGTTCCTCAAAACGCTCTGGGTACTCTGTGTAGTACATGCTCGAATATTCCGTCAAAATGGCCTTTGTTCCTGTTTCCAATGTTTCGCACAGGTACATCGTTACATCATGGTCTGTACTTCGATGTACACACTCTCCCGACTCGCATGCCGTAGCCTGAGAAACGTTCGGACATTGAGAATTGTTGTGGGGAGCTCCGCAATTTTCGGAATATACTTCCTCGTCATCTTCCCCACCTTCAAATTTCTTGATGTCGTAGTTGTCATACAGTTCAAACACTTTCCACGGGACGTTGTCTTTTAGCTTCTTGAAACATCCCAAGTCAATAACTGCTTCATCAGGGTAGCAGTCTGGGTACCAAAAAAAAAATCCACAAACACCAGGACATACTTGGAAAGGCTATACGGGTCGTGTACTTCATACTCGGAGGTTTTCAGATAATAGCGCATTTATTTTTAAAACAGTCAATACTCGTTGGGAGTGAGGTCTTTGTAGTGTGCAATTGAGAACGCAAAGCAGTCGGCATTCTCGCATGCTTCAGCTCAAGCACTTGCGTAGCCTTCAATGTCTGACTCGTGCTTCTCATTGAGCTCTGTAACGGTTACTTGTTCTTCAACTCCAGGATACATATCCGTAAACGGGAAAAGGTTTAATGCAAAACGCCCCTCGATTTCTTCGAATGCTGTGTTTAGGTATATATTTAGCATAATGTCTCCCGGGGGAAAGGGTCTGACCGCTTCTCTAACGTGCTTATACGGCGACGCAAGCACAGCTACAAAGCAATATAGAAACGACGATGTTGATGATGTTGATGTTGGTGTTGATGACATTGATGTTAGTGTTGGTGTTGATGTTGACGTTGACGGTAACGCTGTTTGATGTACCTTACACTCACCAAGTGGCAGTGGGAAAAATAGCGCTTAGCGAAATATATGTTATCAAATCTCAAACGATCGAACCACGTAGAAGGCGGTGTGAAGAATTAAGCAACAGTCATATCACGTCATATTGAAAGTGGAGCGTTGTCCCTCGGATCGATAGAGTAATTAAATTGTAATTGATAGCCAAATTGTAAAAGTCAGCACACAAGAATACAATGTCTACGTTCAGTTTAATAGTTGTGCCTCCGATATTTCTAGCTGAATGATCGGGGTACTTCTTTATTCATATATTATGTGTATGTGTGTAGATATACCACTATCTCTAGCTTTCGGCTGCTGCACTGTCATTTCCTGCCTTCTCATTGTCTCCTCGTGTCTCGTCTTTCATGATGTCTGGATACCTTCTTCCACAGGTCTTAGGTGAAGCCAACTATCCAGGGTCTCTGTTCTACTGTCCTACACCTACCTCTACTGAGGTAGTATGATCCTCAAATGGTTATAGCATACTGTACGTCTACCCAAAATTTATGCTCAACATAGCTGTCAATCACTCTCCTTACGACTCAAATACAATCCTATATGCTGTCAATATCTGTGTTGATCTCTTGTAGCTCGGTGGGCCTACACTCGTTGGTATCACAATCAATTCGCTACAATCAAGAATATTGAACTCGGTGCTTACCTCTACTGTGTCGCGGGTATGGTGTCCTCCTTGTGCTCGGGCTCACGCTTCGCTATAGTACGTGCAAAGCTCTCCTTTGCTGACTCCCCACGCTGCTCCTCCTCGTCCTCCACTCTGTCTTCAGAATTGACGATGTCAGCCGCCAAAGCCATGGACCTAGCCCGGTTGACCACTGTCATAAATGGAACAGTCGACCCCATTAAGTTGCGCACTCCATATGGCTGCGACTGTAATCCCAAACGCTGCCAGAACGATCGTGACATATACTGCATGGCTCGATACAATCACTAGCAATAGACTCACCAGTGTACAGCCCCATGAAGGCGGGCTTTAAAAGTCGACCATGCTTTCAAAGAAAGTATCGTGTTCTGGTGGCGCCACAATTGGTGCGTCACCGAGCACAGCCCAATACCGTGGGAACCAAGTCGTGCCCGACCACATCGACACTGCCATGACTGCCTTGGCATTGGCGGATAAAATTATTTACAGGCCCGGTCAACGTTCCTTAGCTCTAGCCACTCATCCGCTGGAATTTACGCACCTCCGTTACCTGAACGACACCAGCCACAAAAATAGGGCCCGCTCAGGCATCCTCATCCTCAGACCACATGTCCTCTTCAGGCAAAGGTAACTCCTTCACTAGGGTATACCTTCTCCAGTGACTCTACGCAGAGGTGCGTCCACTGTATCTGGTCATAGGCGTGACGGACAGTCGCCTAATACGTTGAAAAGGTCCGGGTAATATTCTACCACGGCGTCAATATAAATGACGATCTCCAGCGCTCGCCACCTAAACCCTGGCTCACCCTCCAATAGGTTCTCCTTCGGCTTGTGGTCACTGTGGATATGAGAAGGAAACTACACCCGCATGACCATGAAGGACAATTTATTTAACAACCAACGGTGGCCACCAGCTCAAGATTAGTAACATGGCAGATAAAGACCGTAGACGGGCGCTTGGATTAGAAGAACCCAACAAAGAATATGCAATTTCAACCATATGTAGAAATACGGCCTCCGGTCAGTCTAAAATATCAAGATCAATTGAGATAATACATTGGTTTTTATTTGTATTTTAAATAATTTAATACAAGCACTTTTTCCAATATTTCCAAAGTGTTCTAAATGCACTTTGATGGCTCCAATAGCCTGGGTATTTGGTATGACTCATCTACTTGGATC